TTTCTTCTTCATTAACCGTTAACATACCATAGCTATACAGACGAACATATAACAAATACGAAATGGGCAGTATAAACAGATTTGATTGTGCAGAGGTAACAAAGTAGTTGATTCTAATCTGCTTGTTTGGCTTCACAGTTTTCGTTGTCTGTTGCGTGAGTTACGGCAGGAATACAACACATTCACGTTCATCAATGTCGACCTCTTACGACATGTGAGGCTGGCATTGGTAGACTTACGTGCAAAAAGGTACGGGTATTATCAAATCTATAGTAATATCTATAAAGCTATTCTTCAACTAGCGTTGTACTTTCCATCTTCTCCCGCGCTTTAATTGTTTTACTGCAAGTTTAGTATGTACGCACATACAATGAAGACGATTACAGGTAACAGCTTTTTCTACTTTCACTACTTCTGTTTCTTTAATAGCCAGCTGCACTTATACTATTACTGCTAATACTAGTAATATTCCTAATAGCTAGCGGAGGGCTAATTATTATTGTTTTTTGCTTTAAATGGGCACGATTCAGTAGAACAGTGGCTGCTCCCCTAAGCCCCCGAGTGTCCGCCGTCGTCTACCAACGACAATCGAAAGCATTATAGTTAGGTCCTTTTTCATCCACTTGCCTACGACAATGCGGTCAGCCTATGTTATCTTCCTTATGACATCAACGATCATAACCGTGCTCAAGTACGATAGCTAGAACGACAGCTGTGGCGTAAACAGCGGCAGCAGCAGCAGCAGCAGCAACATCAAACGCGCTCGACGTATGCTCCATAAGATCTATAATACACAGAAGAATACAGTTCTCTTTTCCAGAGCTACTTGAGATTTGCTGGTCGTAGGCTTGTTTATGGCGACGGCTGGCGTACGATTCAGTTTTGTTAAGGCTGTTTCCATTTGGTACTGCAAAAAAAGGAAACAGGAGATTATGAACAGTGACGTCTCTGTTTAGCGTCACGAGTTCCTCCTGCCGTCGACAAAGAACGTCTTGACGTCCGACTGGAAATCCTTCAGCCAACGAAGCGTTGAGAATCTCGTGATGGACCAGAAAAATTTCTGCCGCTCTTCGGGCACTTCCTTGAACCACCGTAGACATGAGTTAGGCTCACTATACAAGTAAAATGATGAATAAAGCGTATTTTCAATAGTGATAATAGTTTGGGTGCTTTGGAATCCGTAGCCTCTCCTGTGTAAGTGCTTACATTTTTTCTGCACACGCAATTTGATGTCGTCGAACAGAGTGAGAAGCCTTCTGTGCTAATAACGGCAGCAGCTTCATCTGCGCTATATGGATTCACAAATACATATTAGTGTCTTATAGGAAGAGTACATGCAAAGCCCACCGATTAGAAAGATGAGAAACGTTATAGTAACAAGCTAAACAACAAAAATTGGCCCCCTTAAGGCACTGGTATCCTTGTCAGCTCGTTAAAGTCATGCCCTCAAGCCTGGCCATACGGTGTTTCATAAATGAGACAGGCACAACTTCGAAAAATTTTCGTGCATAAAAAATCGTAAATGCGAGCGCTGATTAGCAAGAAATACAACTGTATTACAATAAAAAGATGCTTAAAGATAGTACCTAGGCAGATTTTTGACGGTAGATACAACTACGTGTGTAACTGATTGACTCAGTGGAATTCGAAGTACTAACGTTCTGTATTTACCAATTACTAAGTAATTCTCTGCCTATTTATAAAATCGATTGGTTCAAAGACGAGCGCCTGTCTGACGTTGCTGCTGCCATCAAAATCTACAAGAAATAGACAATATGGCATTATAACACACAACAAACTTTCATATGAGCTAACATCATCGATAGTTGGTATCTCCCTTCTGTCTAAGAGATTAACTGTCAGTAGAAATAAATGGATAAAACTATAGTGCTCGAGCAACTTCACAGTAGTACAATTATTACGAATATTAATATTTCAAAAACCTACTACTTACCTTTGAATGGTCTTATTCCGATAGCTGCGTTTGCAGTTACCGAAACATCTACGTCGAAATAGAATCAATAGTAAAACGTTCCAAATATTAAATCATTTATAGAACTGAAAAGTTCTAACTGAAATGGTTTGTTTCATCGACTTGAAGATATGCACATTTTTTAAGGTATCAACCCGCTATCACGGGCTAAACTTAGCAGGTATCTCTCTTTTAGGTGAGGTTTCAAGCTGACAAAGCTCTTTGGCCGTTCGTGACGGCACTAGCTTAAAGTGGCAACGTTACCGAGCGAAGAACCGCGCCCTGAATAACGGGACGTTACTATAAAAGCAGCCGTAAGAATCGCGCCCACATGCTTTTGACGAATAGGCTCGCTTTTTTTGTCGAAAAGATTGTTTGCTAGCGATTTTTTTTTTATTTCTATGGCATCGACGTTACACTAGCATCAAAGATAATTCACGCTGCAGTTTTAATTTCTCAACTGAGATAATGCCAGTGCTTGCATCCTCTATCTAATTGTATCGTTTATAATATGGCCACGGTACGAATAGTACTGCCATACGGCATGGCAATACCAGTAACACACTTATAATGCCAAGTATATAGATCGGATCCTAATAATTCAGCGTCTATTTAAACTTATCCTCAAACAACGTCAGATAAATTCCAAGAAGCTATGCACTAATTAAGCCAACCCAGATGCCCAGATTCTTCCAGAGATAATAGGATCTTATTGACAAAAAGTACGCGCCTGAAATGTATGTCGATACGTGTCCGACTGTTAACCTTCTCGGTAAAAGGATATTTTTACACGAAATATAATATTTTAAATATGTGGCTGCAAACAACATGGACCAATATAAAATGAACCCAGGAGTACGTAATAATAACTACGGAACTGTAACAACGAGTATGCTCACCTAGCTAATGGATCTACAAATTGCAGGGCTTTGGCTGTGTGGCTTATAGCGACCAGGAGGAACTGTTTGACGACTTTCCAGTCATCCTCCAATGAGAGTTAAGGGTAATTTGTACAAAACACTTTACTACTAGCTAGAAAAAGGAAAAATACATTCGGCAAAGATTTAAAATTTACCATTTTTCTAAAAAAGTGTGCATAATAATGTATTTTTGCTAACTCCTCAAGCCCCTCCTGGATATAGAAGAATATTCTTTATCGTGGTACGGCTAGAAGTCATTTCAGCAAAAATAAAACGGTGATTCGAAAAAGCACAAAGCTTACAGATAAACGTGTGGTCTGCTGGATCTATTAAGGTCATACATGTGTACCAGGTGTCATTTCGGGTCAGCATACAAACGACAACTGTAACATCGTCTAATAATTACAAATCAACTGAGGTAATGGTAAACAGTTGTGCCATTGCCTAATATCTATCCGGTTTCCTAAACACTGGCAATGTTTAGTTTTATTGAATGGACGCACATTTTCAATTGGTTGTTTCTGTTCTATGATTTCCTGATTTGACCCTTGACTTTCGGCGAGATTTTTGCGGTAGAACATTCATCGCATTATCAATTGTCCATCGCGTTACGGCGAATCAACCACATATATCGAACTTTAGTGTGGAGAACGAAAAGGGGAACGTTCTGGCCGCTGTAGGCATTTGCGTTTGTCCCCATGATAGCTTAGTGGGTAAAATATTTGTCTGCTGAGGACACGCTGTGGTCTAGATTTAAAACTGGGTATTTGAACGCTGAGAGTCAGCTATCTGATCGAATGATGCCCAACAACGATATCGGACGTAAAACTCGAAACGTAGAGAAACATTTGTATTCAAGTCTATCACTACTAATTCCAAATTACTAATGGCAGTGCAGCATTGCGTCTAGACTACTGCGCAAAATCCGTAAATCGGACAGCCTTCATACATTCGGGGCTCGCTCTCCTTTCTCGTGAGACGGGATGAAGTTATGGAGGTAAAGACATCGATACGTCGTGCAGAAGGAGTTACCGCTGCGGGTAGATGGCGTGATTGCTCTCTCATCTATGCCGCCGTAGCAGCTCTGTTCGATTGAATTGGGAGGGACGTTCAGCAGACCGGAGTCACTATCTGACTACGTTCGTCAAGCGCGACAGCACTCACTGTTCATTTAATTCGCTATTTTGGCCGACGTTTCTTCGGAACATTTTGTCGAAGCGATGTTTTTCGGCGCAACAACAGGCGCTGCTGATGCCATACCGGGAACTGACATACCCACGCACTCGAAATTGTTCCTTTCCCCTTCTCTGTGCTCAGACATTAACTTCTTCTGCGGGCGCAGCTGCTATTTGTTGAATGGAGCGACTTGTGCTGGTTGATCTTCTGCGGACATCGATACCGTGGCGTCCAGAGCAGAGAGTACCGAAGCACTAAGATAAACCGCTATACGGTAACAAATAGATTCATGAGCAGCTGCAAGCACACACAGGCACACACATACCGCTTACCAACCAGGACTAACGGGCACCGCCGCACGGCCTGGCTGCTACCGGAAAGGCCGTCGATACGATGCTTTCGATTCTACTGTAGTAGTAACCGTAGTAGTTCTAGTAGTTGTTGCAGTAACTATGGCAATAATAGCTCGAGCTGTACTCGCGCCCGCGCAGCCGTGTTATTGACGGCGGGGTCACTGCCGCTGTCGCCTTTACCAACCGCCCTGCTACATACTGTATTTACCAGCCGGCGCACGGCACTTACTTCGACCAGAAATGGGCAAAAATAACATGGAACTTAGTACCATATCTACGAGAGCCGTCGTTCTGCACGCTGAAGCCTGCGTTGTTTTTGTTACTGCCTGTTGACAGCTGCTGTTCAGCTGATACGAATATATGGAGTAACTATTTAGTCGGCACTTCAACGGGCAGGTGAAGACCATCGCCGATCGAAGCAGATGGCCAAAAGAATCAAAAGGCCAACGACATCAACCATCGTATTTCACAATATGCTACATTTAAGCCGAATTGTATTATGGCTATATATTATAGATGCTGCAATTGTAGTCGCAGCAGCGGCAAGATCAATGGAACTTACAGTAACTTCGGTATAACATGGCGTCACTTGCAGAAAATCGATCGGTCACCGCTTTTGCAAGCGCTACCATCCACAACGATAAGCGCTACGCTAATCAAAACAATGCGGTTGTCATTGTAAGACAAAGCACTATCTGTCCTCAGGTTGGGGGTACACACGAGTAGATGAACCCATAGAAACAGATACAGATGCGCATTTGCCACTTTGTTGCCATAAAAATGATGGCCCTTTCTGGCGACGAAAGCAGTTGGCTGGCTCCATTCATTCTATAAATGAGCAAGCGTGAAATAAATGGTCAAATAGATTCCTAAAAAAATACGTCTCATACGAGACGGGTACGTATTGACAAAGATGAATAGAACAAGCAGGCCGGTGACAGAGGTTTCGTATCGTTGAAGGCTTTTTTCGTTTTGACGATTGCGGTCGGTATCGCTTCTGTTATGAACACTAGTGTATATAGCCTTGCTCAATAAGCAGTATACACAAGTAGAGTCAATGCATTTGTAGGCTGCGATACTCGTATATCACGAGACGGCAGTAGATAAGTTAGAATGCTTAAGTAACAAAGATAATTAGTGAAGACCATTAATCATGATTTGTTTCCTCATACTGTTTCGAAGGTGCACCGAACTTATCATTGAGTTGTCCGTCGACGAACTATATGCGAGGCAAAGGTATGCTTAGACAGAAATCACCCTACAACAATTGACAATTAATAACAAAACAGAAAAACAGTCAGTTCAGACAACCTCATAAGTATAGCTCAAAGTTATCTAGCAACAAAAAAACGCTAAGCTAATTTTCGAATGATAACACGCTATCGCGTGTCGAAACCAACCGTCGCAGAACGATTATATTCTCAGTTTCGACATAAACGAGCGTCGTCTTTGTTTTCAGGTCAACAGCTTACGTGTATCTAATGTACTAACTGGCGCAGACCTTTAAACAATACATCGATTGGCCCGCGTATCTTCTTAAGAACTTATACTTTGAAAAGTAACGCCGCTACTAGGAAACAAGTAACGCAGAGAATGACTGAATCGAGTTTGTACGTGTCATCTTCCGATTTCGTAAGACATCGTGAACGTATCGGTCTATTCCTCCACAATATATCAATCTATTATTATAACGGTGATTATTGTTACCCAACGTGATTAGTAAACGGCAATAAATTACTTTACTATTAAAGATACATAGACAGATTCTGTAAGATCATCCACACAAATGGATTTCCGATCTATTGTAACGTATTTATAATTATTTTTCGTACTTCGATATCAGCATTGCGTAATATTGTATGTTACTAACTGGTTCAGTGTCGAACACTCTGGCTATGCTAAATTTCAATGAACTTCATGTTATGCTGTCATTGAAGCAACACTTCGCAGCAAGCAGAGCTTCACTAAGTGAGGAGAATTCGTAGGCTGACTCCCTGAAATGCAGTTGCCTTCGATTTAGTTATTAGCCGCCTTAAACGGAAGGCTCTAGACAGGTTTAGCATTTAAATAGCTACTTACTAGGGGGACTTTAAACAGTCAGTCATATTTGGCGATAATTGAGCTTGTCTTAATGTCGTTTTTCGATTTAGACATTTACGCTAAATGTAGACATGATGAAGTAAAACGCTGGCTGCCTTCGGCCGCTGTTCGAATAGACCTTCGACAACGGGGCTTCGAATAACCATCATAATCGATAAAATGACTGGCGTAATTTAATTCACACTATGTGAGGGAACGTACCTGAAGTCTGTAGTTGCTGTTGCTGCGAGTTCTTTGGAGCATCCGGCTTTTTGAACAGAACTGTTGCAAATGGCAGTCTTGCTGAAGCCAGTAGGTCAAGTTGGTCCTCTACTACAGTATCCATGTTCTTGTCCTTGAACCCGCGGCAGTCGTAATCAACTTCACCCGCAAAGTGCACCACAATAAACTCTTCTTGCGACAGTTTTGGCTTCTTAAAGTGTTCAAAGCCTTTGCACTGCATATACAGCTTTTGGCACCACTGTTCGTCCGATCCTTTCGGCAAGCGACACTCCTCGTCGAGCAGATCGAGGATTCCCAATTTCGTTTCAATCAGGTTAATACACGGCTGGTTGTCGTAGAAGTCGATATAGCTCCAGCGTATCGCTTCCCTTGCGTACTCTTCCTGTTCTAATTTGAATACGTGCTGATTAAATTGCTGCTGAAGCTTCTCGTTGGCATAATTAATGCAGAACTGCTCGAACGAATTTCGCTGGAACGTCTCAAAGCCGTAGATGTCGAGTACGCCAATAAAGTGTTTGCGTTTTTCTTTACCTATGAGTGCCTTGTTTACCGATCCGACGATCCAGTCAAAGAGAGTGGCGTACATATGTTTGGCTAAAGCGTCTCGAGACATCGAAGCCTCTGGTGGCCTTTGCTGTTTCATAACTATTTCCCGGCCTATTTGAACCTTAATGACGCAAAGCGCTTCCTTCAGTCTTTCCTTCTCGAGTTGTAAAAGATCACAAAATGCCACAAAGCCTGCCTGGTCCATATCAACCCGTGATCCCCCGTCACCTTTGACAAAGGCTAAATTACCTAAATGGAGTATACTAGCCATTATCTTGAACATTGACGTTTGGTCGTCTTTGCTAAATTGCAGCGTATTTAGGGACTCAACGAAACACTTGAACTGAGCAAGGTCGTCAACGTCCTTTATAGAAGGGCATTTGCCCTGATTAATATAGCGGAACTCTTTGCACGGCCGCAGCCTGAGGTGCTTCCATTCATCGAGATTGGTTCCAGCTGCGCACAGCTGGTAAAACACGTGATAGTTTCGCTCGTCCTCAGCCTGAAAGACGACCCGCGACTTCTCGAGCAGGTAAGTTCGCATATGCGCACCGACAATGATGTGTTTCGAATTGAAATCGATCTGGATATATTTGCCAAAACGGGAGGAGTTGTCATTTCGTGTCGTTTTGGCATTACCAATAGCTTCCATTATCGGATTAGAAGCAATCACCTTGGCCTCTATGCGCGATTCCGACGACTCGCCCCCAACCGTAGCAAAAAACCTCATAGCGTACTTGGCTGACACAGTCTTCCCTGCTCCTGATTCACCTGACACGATAATCGATTGATTTCGTCCTTCACGCTCCATTTTGGTGTAAGCCTCTTCCGAGATGGCGTAAATGTGCGGGTCGAGGTCGCCCATGCTGGCGCCCCGGTATGCCCAGATCGCCGTTTCATTGTAAATGTCCAGCGATTCGTAAGGATTAATGGCCACGAGCACAATTCCACAGTATGTGTATATGATATTTTTACTACAAAATCGAACCTGGAGATTGTGAAGTACAGCAGGCTCGTGCAGGTACGACAACGCAGTAAGATCGTTTCCACCAACGAGGATGTCAGGATTCCGCAAAAACGGTAGATCACCAACAGCTTTGACGGCAAGAACTTGTGTCGAGCCATCTTCAAATTCAATCTCTATCGATTTCTCATCCCAGTCGCGCATCAGCTGGCCAGCACGCCAGATCACTTGCTTGTCCTCGACCCAAACACGGCATCCTTTCGTATATAATTCTTTTGAAGTCATTTTAGTCTGTGGCCTCCCTGTGCATCGGCAGGCCCTGACCAGACGTCCGATGCAGTTTCTTTCGTGCAGTTGTCACAACTATAAAGTTATACGTTAAGCATATTTTTGCTTTGTTAAATACATGAAATATCGCCGATTGCAACAAGTGACACTGCTGGTAAACCAGCGCATATATAAAGGTAAACAGAGATGATTCAAGTCGGACACAAACACAACACAACATACAAATATATATACAGGCCAATTTTGACTCAAACTGATTTCTTCTGATGATCTTAGCGCTCCAGCGCCTCACGTGGCAGCAGTTATTGCACTTTACAATTTTGAGGCTATTTGATGCAGTTCCTCTTTAACTATATGGAGGAACGGATAAAATCTCCGAGCCCGCTTTTCATCTACGCCGTCCTCTGTCAATTCTCTACACACGAAGCACCCGTACTGCTCCGTGCTACGCTAATGCCGGCTCAGTTTAACAGGCTGCCAATAAAAGGCTCGAGCTGAACCAAGTTCGCTTGCCTTTGTCGGAGTGACGTCAAAGGAAAGGGCACGTTCCAACCAACACCATCTCCACCATAGCAGAGACGAGGGAAAGAACGTGATCTCGACCGGCGGGCTGACTCAAATTCAACTTCAAAGGCTTTGCATCGCGCACGGATAGGGCGATTTATCGGTCCTGTCTGGCAAGTGACCGTACAGCTTTTATTAAGCTATAGTCGCTCATGATTAACAACAACACAACAAACTGCACTTTGGCCATCTGAGTGACGGTGCCAATGCGACCCGTCGTTCTTCGCTAATCGCTACATGCGTACATACAGGCAGACAGACAGACAGATGGACGGACGCACGGGCTGACAGACAGCGGCTTTAGCTGTGCTATCCTTAACATCGATCCATACACTTCTCTAGATAACTGTCAACTACTGCCGTTGAGATAACGATAGCAACGGCCACGATTGCAGCTGTACCAGAAAAGAAACGGCCGCATAACGACATATTAGTATTGTAGCGCGGTACAGTAATGGTAGTAGTTGTTCCTAATGTTTTCTCTTTCTTGTGTTTTGGCAACGGTGGCGCCACCCGTGAAAGGGTCATCCGAGGGAGGGCCGACGCGGCTAATTTCAAAGCAATGCCGAGTACATAAATGTTAGATGTTCATCGCTGGGTGATATCCGACATTCGTTCAATTTCGTTGAATAAACTAAGCAATTTTAAATTCTTTGACGCGCGTAGCCGTAGTTAGTGTGGTCACGGTCGCGGTGATTTCAATGGGATAGCTGATCGCTGATCGTAATATCGACAGAACATATACATCTTATATAAAATAAGGGCTCAATTATTTATGGTAGCAACTACAAGGCTGCTGTGGATGTTTATTTGATTCTATACGCACATTTTACTTAGATTGGATTTATCTACAAAGGGTAATATGATACTGAGAATCTTATTATATATACGCATATGAAGATTCTTAGAAGCACTGAACAATTTGATGATTAAGGGGTCTAAAATAGTGTTCAGCGCCTTGAAAAACACTGTTCAATGATAGATAGTTTCAAGGTAAAATTCAGCAGGACGTCTGAAACTTTTATGGCATATTCAGGTTGAGTTTCTCCTAAATTAAGAAAATCGAAACTTTTTTCTCCACATGAAGCACAGTAATAGAACTGACTAAACTAAGGTTGCTATTAGATTTTATCTTAGAGCAAATTTGAAAAATCTTACTTTTGTAATGTCTGCGGTAGCAATATGTGTATAACTTAGGGAAGTTCTACACTCGCCGTCTCTTTAGCCGATTTTTGAAGTACTTATGAGTTTGTCTATAATTTTTTCTTGTAAGCTTGTCGAGGGCATCAAACTAAGAAAGAAGACTTAAACTTTTTGTACCTTCTTTTCTGTATGCAATGCATTTGTATATTCTAAATGTTGGTTACTTAATTTTTTCTCACCTACAGTGTTTCAGTTATAAAATTGCTCTTAAGAAAGCGTCGTTAATTACGCAATCATTTTATGATTTAAGCTATTTGGTTATTAAAGATAGAGAGCTATGAATTAACTTCGAACACATCCGAATTTATTTTTCCTATTTCAAGAATAAGAAATGAGCAACATTTAGGTGTTTAATCCTCGTGGATCTAAGGTGTGAGTCGTGGAAGAAAAGGTTCGAGTGCTTTTGCTACTATCAGGGCGTTATCTATTATACAAATATTGCCTATAAAGTGCTAAAATATATTCTGTAACAACATCTTACATGATGCTTTAAGAATATGCACTTGCCTTGTAAATGCACTAATATTCGTGTCTTTTCGAAGATGATTCAGAGAAATAAAGAAGTGAAAATAATATATTTAAGCAATGATAATGATGACGATCATACTACTAATATCATTGTTATTATTATTGTAATAAATTTAGTTGAAATGACTTTTGTCATTTGTGACACTTATACTGCGTCGATCTTTTCCAGGATCGCCATAAACTATCTATATACAATATAGTATGATAGATTCCCAAACATGAATGTGCCTACATTTGAAAGGGAAATCGCCTCAAAGAATAAAAGGACGTTGAGGTTACCTCTATTATATTTTACTTCAGTTACATTGGAATCAGTTCTATACGATTATTGATTCCTGTGCAAAAGTAAGCTACTCGTTAGGGGTCCTGTTTTTTTTAGACTATCATAGGCTGTTATTTGAAATGAGAAAGACGCGGAAAAAAGATTTCTCTGAATTCATGTTGGCTGTTGATGTTATCAACAAAGCCAACTTACAACTAGATATTAGCATTTCTAGGTTTAATGTTTACTATTGTTCTGTTTATTGAGGCGTTCGAGTCCAACCTTGGTGTCGTAATTATGATGAAAAATCTAAAACAATTCTCCATATTCAAGAGATTATTGTTTGTCTTAAAGCTTAATAAGTGTAATGACTTCAACTTTAAAACAATATTGGACCTTCTGCTTAACATAATGTCAGAATATTTTCAATAATTTTCCAGCCCTCAGTTTTTCTTCATTTAGATACCGAGAGGTTCGGTGCTGACTGTAGATTTAGATTATTTTTCTCATTCTAGTTAACTGCCATCAGCCATCAGTTTGGAGCTGCTTTTTGTCCGACATTTCAGTGCCGCAAAGTGGATTAGTTTGACAAGATAATGACGAGTTTAATGCAGTTCGTTATTGCACAAAATTCTGACGTAGAAACGAAATTGCGAATAACCCGGTTGCCGGTCAAACGTTGCTTGTACTGTCCGCAAATCACAAAGACAATGCTAACGCACTTGTTTCATTACTTGAAAACTTTGAAAAATTTCCTGCAAGAAAGTGTCGTATACTCCTATTCGACTTAACTTGAATTTCCTCACTACTTATCGAACCAGACGACGCTTTTTTGATCTTGTTACTTGCCCTACCTCTGAGACCTGTCTTGATCACGTTTGGGAAAGTGATTATCTCGTCGAAGATTATTTTCAAATTAGAAATCTCTAAATAAAATTCGATAATATAAGTCAGTTAGTCGTGCACCGAACGAATCTAGGAAAGCCTATATTCGATTTGAAGCTGCTAGTGACTGTCATGCCAAAACCTGGCTCCTTATCGATGCTTACAGGACAAATAAGACAAAACTCCTTGTATCAATGATGGGATAGTGGATACACTGGTTCTGCTAATATTTCAAGATACTTTGCCGAATATTCTTCTATTGTTGCCACCAAAATTAACCATTTCTCATTTTATACTAATGAATGTTCTAACTATTGACGCCAGAACGTTTCTATTAGCTGCAACTGTTCTTTTCCCCTTCTATTCTAATACCAGCATTTTTCAGTTACTTAAACCCTCCAAATCGGTTCAATAGACTTTACTCTATCTGTCCAGCTAAAATACTTAAACTTAACATTCACTATTTGACGTTCGCAATTTCATTCATTTAGAACGCTAGCTATTTCGTGATTTTAGACACTTTCCCGTTTACACACTTTCTGCCTCATCTCACCTCACCAGCGCAGCTTTAGCTTGGGTTACTCAACCAAGCTAAACTTGCGGGTCTTGCGTAATGGCTTTTTTATAGAGCGGCAATGTGGTGGTCCATGTATTTCTTGATGTTCTTTATAAGAAGGCTTTCCACTGATGCGAACACGAAATGCTTTTTTTTCATATAAGACTATTGAGAAATTCTGCGAAGAGTTCCGTAGCTGTTTGTCAGATAAATTTCTTCAGATTAACTTTTCAGAGGTGCTTACAGCATCTCTTAAATATGATCTTTGTCTGCAACATTCCTTTTTCAATATGTCTTTACCCTTTTCCCTTCCTGCTGATAACGCTCTCTTATTATTATTATTATAGTACACTCGAGTATTTGCGGACGACCGCAGTACACTCACAGGGATAAATGACCACTTTAGATATTAAAAAAAATCAACTTCTTTATATAATCACTGGTTAAAACCTACACATCAATTTGCTATTTCTTAATATGCTTAGGCCAGTAGAAGTATTATTTAGGGCTTCTCAATTGACCGTCCATATTCCTGATCTTCATTACTTAAATGAAATAGGAATCTTTGTTAAGATTATTAGGTGAACCCCTTGAATACACTGATGGAATGGTTCCGATCAACTCTCACTAAAAAGAGTGACAATTATTTGGAATAAGGTACGTTTGTCTCCATCTATAGATTCCTTCAGCATCCTAATATATAACGCACCCTACAATATCTATTTGCTTTATGATTTGAGCCGCAGGACATAATACTTCTATTGGGTGGCCACAGATTCAGCAAAATGGCACTCTACGTACAGTATTCAATACACCTAGGTAGGCCTTGGTTATTTTTGATATTAACACAATCTATCTTGTTTCCCAGATACTTCACCTTAAATTTTGAAAGCAGATGAGAAAGGCCATTCATTAATGTATTAATCCGAGATATATGATTTTTTTCCCGTACCCTCGTAGTACCTAGAATAAATAGCAAGATGAAAAATTAAAATTATGGGCATACATTGCAAAGGCATGGCTCCGATTACTAACTCCTCCTTATTTATAACTCGCTATCTGAACTCCTTCAAAATATAAACTTGTCATGTCGATTCAAAGAAGGATCCGTTTTTCCTTCTTCTTTTGTCCATTTAATTATTTTCACACTTTTCCAAGATCATCACTTTAATCTATATAAAGCAAATATTAACACAAATATTTGTTATGGCATAAGGAATCTATATGTGATAGGTGTAGGTGCATCCACTGCCCGTAACCCATGACATTTCTGCACCAGCAATTGATAAGGATAAAGATATTGATTATTACTTATTCCCTAACATTGGTTGCATCAATCTGGAGGCAGACAACGGTGATGCACAGTGCTTAAAGAACAAACTTTGCGTTGCTTTCCAGTATTTTGCTCAAACGTCGCTTGTGGTTTCACTTTCTGTATCTAAAGATTTTTATATTTATTTATTGAGTGTCATATAAAATTAAACTACAAGAATTTCTTTCATCATCTTTCATGATGGTAAAAAATTGTTTATTCTTGCATTTCATAGCTAAGTTCAAGGTTCGATCAAAAACAATGAAAAAACAAATTTTTCATAAAAATAACGCACTACAACTTTATTCTACTTTCTTAGTCTTTTTCCTATATTTTATAAGTATACTCTAATTGACTTTAAAATTCTATGTACATTAAACAAAAGGTTCATCATATTCACTCAATTTTATGATGTTTTATGCTCCTGACTGTAGTTGCTGTCTTCGCGCCTTCTGCAGCTCTCTGTCCTTTCGAGCTTTTTCTTTCATTTTTTCCATAAACGTCCCATCATTTTCCCATGGTCTCGGCCCGCGAACATTCTCCCAAGAATCCGTGTCCATTTTTTTTATATCTGTTTCATAAATGATGTCGATGTTTGTTTCCCCTTCGTCTTTCTTCTTTAAACCTGAATGGAATCAAGAATAACATTCTTTATGTAAATATATATAGAAAAGGTAGAGCTATAAGGCCAAAATTTGCTTAACGTTATCGTTGAAAAACGGACGCCATAAGAGGGAAAAAAACACTGTTCCACAGAAGGTGCGGCTATATGGGCCGCTAAGAATTTTATGCGAATAAGTTACCAATCAAACAAAGTTAAAGGAAAATGCTTTTCTTCATAGGAAAGGTTATGATTATAGGTAGAAGAAGCGATTCTTTGTGATCATTTACTGCCAATTTAAGCAAAGCAAAAACTATGGTCCGACCGTCACAAATCCACTTGAAATTCTACTGCACAATGTAGAGCCATGTTGCAACGGCCTTCTCAAGTTACGGCATTTTCACGAGTTGTACTTAGTTTAATAGATGAAGACTATGTAATTATCATGCTTATGTCTCATTTTCTTATTTTATATGGTAAATTTTGATTGACCACAATCCTTCCTGACTATCCGCGACGTGGTGCCCGAATATTAATATACTGTTTTGCCCAAACATATCACACAATGCTGATACCACCGATATCTGGTACAACGAGTGTTTTCAAGTTTAAGTTGACATATATACGCAGTCTCACTGAGTCCATTGTACTCTGAAGCCATTTAGTTCTTTTATTTCTCGGAAGAATTAGCGTAGAAGACTCAGTTTTTATATATATTAGAGCTGATGTAGCCATCTCATCCTGGTTGTCTAATAAAGCTCAGTGTAGTTATTCTTATAGAAAGTAAGTTGCTTTTAGTTTGCTTCGGGAAAAAATAGCCTGGAGACACGTGAAACGGCGACAGAAAATGAGCTTCTTTATTATTCAACAAAATTCTATAAAGCGCGAAAAGATATTAACTGTGTCACACACATCAATCTTCCTATGTATATTAGGCTGTTACAAGCGAATCCGGCAGACGATGAAATTTGGTTCGTAAATACTCCATCCTAGAGACTTATGAGTGAAAATCAGTTCTGTTTATTTGAGAAAGAATTAATTGACAGAAGTAGCGTTTTGGCCTCGAAAATCAATGCTCAATAAGCAAGTTTTTTTCTTCGAAGACACAGTGCTGCGGAAATTCATCGAAGATTGGTGAAGACATTAGGTAATTAGACCTTAAGCGAAATGATGCAAACGTTTTAGAAACACAGATTGCAATGTTGAAGATCATCGAAGAGGCGATTCGATGTTGGAACACAAAAGAGCAGAATACATTGTCGCAATTTGGAGGCGTTTCACGAAGACAGGGTTTTGGACCTAAGGGCTCTGTCAGCCAAACTGACATTCCACATGTAGCGAGTTACAGAATTATAACCAAAGTACTGAAAATGCAGAAACTGAGTAAAAAAAATAGGTTCCTCATAAATTGACTCCAGTTGCAAATGCGTATATTCCATATGCATTTTGTGGAACTTCAGCCAACGAAAAATCCACCTGAAACATACGGTCTCAATAAACGAAGCATGTATTGATCTTTACCGCCAACCGGAAAGCGTCCAGGTGGGATAATGGCGTCACCCTGAAGAAAAATCAAGTTCGGTGGCATTGTCAAGTAGATTGCGAGGTAAGATGTTGATAGTATTTGCAATGGATACCAGGAGTGTCTGCTGTTTAAAATACTTGCAGAAAATGAGTATAGCTTACTCGGGTTTCTCAATGGATTGATGGACAGTTGTTACGGTAATCAAAGGTATGTGATCTAGTTATTTGATCAATTATATCCATAAGTAGAGAAACGCATGAGATATGGAAACACTCTGTAGGTCTATCCATAAGTTTCCAAAACGCTGGGACAGCTGTTCTGTCACACGTATTGGCAGGTTATCGATAGCTCAACTAGTTCATAAATTTTTAATGTCAATAATAAGGAATCGCTTGTAACCTTTCCTGTAACCTGTGTCATATACTCGTAGGTTGAAAAGTATAAAACCTACTTTCAAAAAGCGTAACCGCAACAAGTAAGTAAAACTGCAAGACATCTGCCTTTGTTATTTTCGCACCTCATCAGATTTGGCAGGCGTTCTGGCGCAAAAAAAGAACAACGTATTATAATGCAACTCTTCTCGAGTTCCCCGTAAACAAATCGTTCACTAGACGCGATTACATGCCACATGCTAACAATAACCAGTATTACAGCTCTACCAGATGTGTTGTAACTAACTTCGCAAAAGTTGCTTACCGTATTTAGCCCATTCTTCTTTTGTGAGTTTCTTTGTTGAGGATACCTCATATCTTAGTGAAGTAAACTCTTTTAATCCAAGTAATCCACCAATCATAAAAAGTCCAAAAGGAGTTCCAAATCTTATAAAACGACCCTGCTGTGAGTATGCTTGCTTGATGCGAAGTAAAATTTGCATCATACTACGTTAAACGGGTATTCAATTATTTACACAAACAACAAATATTTACACACTTGTCAATGTACAGCAAGCACTCAGAAATTGTTAATGGTGGAAACAGCAAACCGTGAATGAAATATAAGAAGCAATATCAGTGATCGATATTCAATTGATTGCACTTTCCAAGGAATACAGTATAAGCGTAAGTTGATCCACTGCATAAATGAACAACATATGTTGATCCTGTTTTCTTTGAAGACAATGTCGTAATAAAAAAATTACGATGTATCAAGGCTGTATAGTTTGAGTAAATTGGACATTGAATAACTGGATATTTAGAGAAAAGACACTCGTAAACATTGGTGCGCAAGTACGTGTGACCATAGTTGTTCAATTCGATCGGAGCAAGCCAGAAAGTCGTGCTATTCCGCGCGTTAAAGTCGGACCGTAAATTAACGGAAATGACCGTGTTATTTTGCTCGAGCAAGCTTTTGACGAGTGGCTCTAGTGGTAGCATAAATACTATTGGCGCTCTATTTGAGCAAGAAGTGATACATGAGCTGGGTTTATATTAGATGGTAACAAATATGAATCCCATTCAAAGGATAGTCAGAAGACTTATGCAGGTTAGTACGTCAGCAGCGTAGGCTTGAAAGCCAAGTCTCGTTGATTTATAAATCTGCCTTTATGTAGAGTATACACGGCAAAGAAGGTCGCCGCATTCTACGTTATTTACCTAAATTGAAAAAGCGATTGGTTAGATATTTACTGCCTGGTTAAAAAATGATACCGCATAAAAAAACAGTAGTATGGCGTTTCAAAGCGCCGATGGTAAAATTTTACGTCTGTTATGAAGCTGAGTTTATGATGAAAATCGCTGGATTTTGCAAATCGGTTCACCCTTAACCATATTAGATCAACCAGAGCCTAATAAAAATTACTGGGCGATTGAACCGAAGCAAATGACAACTTTTTTATATGGATAGTAAGCGTCCAGTACAGCTGAAATATTTTCTGCACAAGTCATCCCATATGTGATTATCCAGCCACCAAAATTTATAATAAAATAATGCTACTATATATCATATGGTGAATATATAAGTACAATCGAGTGTAGCTAAGGCAGCATCGTATTAAATGATACAAAAAACTCGTGACATTTGTAAACATCTTCTCCATAGTACTATTTAGGACCAAAAACAAGAAATGGATAATAAGTTGCGTCATAACGTGACTTATTTTTCGGGCTTGTGGTAGAATACAACACGATGGTTGCGCGTGTCATTTGTAAGACAAGCTTTGGATGCAAATAAAAACCAATGAATGCCTATTATGTTCCATGAACTACCGTTTTCGATATCATAACATGGTTTTCTTATTTTAGAGAAAAAATCTCAGATTCTTTTTTATGGCACTGGCATTTTTCGTCCGGTTTAGACTGTTCAGGTATTTTCAACCAATACTTATTTTTTTTTTTATCTGAATTCAAAAGCTCATGTCGCGCTCATTACAGTAGCAATGGCATTGCATATGATGTGTGTAGCATCTGTTGTGTTTATTTTCACTTCTTTTTGTAAATTCATGCGTTTTATATTTTATTTTTCAGCCAGCCATGGTATAATAATATCTAATATATCATCCATTTTCAATGTACTATACAATCAAGAGATCTTGAGCATGATTATTTGAATAACAGAATAAAGAATGACTATTTAATCTTCTTCGAAAAAGTAACATAAAATGTAATAAATTCATAAACATTTCGTTACACTTTGGCATTGCCTTTTTGATTAACCACTGGACAACTTACCGAATACAACCCGAATACAGAACAATATTAGTTTTGGAGTGAATATGTTTGAAAGAGACTTAATAAAATATAAATTCCTAAGAGAATATATACTTTTAACCAATTCAATTTATAAGGGAAAAAAGTGAGCGTGATTCATTATCGCGATGTGATAACATTGTGTCCGCAAATTATTTTTTTCAGAAAGCGCATCATCTCTTGCAGGATCCGTCAATTCAGCCTGCTTTGGCTGGCATGTCATGTACAGCCCGTAGCGACGACCTGAGAGCCGCTCCCGCGAAGAGCGTGCTGGAAGACATGCGGGAGGGCATCCTTTTAGCCGTGCAAAGAAACCGCAGATCGGTGGAGCGTCGCATGTGGAGAAGAATTGGCATGCCCCAGTTTGCGGTATGTTGTATGATAAATAATAGGCGAAGCAAATTGCTTTGTAATGATCGTTCTCCTATCCCATTACTAACGGATCTTAAATCTGCTATAGTAGTCTATAAAGCACACATACACTTAGCTATAGTAGTATAGAGTTACGGTTTTGCAGAAATCAATTCTTGTTTACCATCTCGTACTGTTTGCTAATATATTAATTCTAGACATAAACTATAACGTCTAGACGTATATTATACAGTTTTATTTGCAAATTATAGCATCTTTGGAGTCTTTGCAGGCGACTAGTGTCAAAGTATTAACGTTTGGTCATCAACTAATTTTTCACTGACCTTAGCATACCATAGAAATAGTTGATATTCGCGATATAATACCAGTAATAAGTTAACTGGTTAATGATTTAAAAAAAACGCAATTATAGTTTGACCCTAATAAATGCTTGATTATATTTATCTCAGGATATTATCGAAAACGGCTTTTCTGTTCAGGATGCCCACTATGCGCTGTCATTATCTATTCGGCTATTGCTCATTCCGGTTTCCTCTCTGTATTTCAGCATAAACTCCGTCGAGATCTAAAATGTTGCGTTGAGTGTGGCCACATGCACGAGGCTCATACACTTTGTGGCAATTGCTATATGAAGATTCGGATTGAGGCAGAAGCTATACAAAAGGCTATAGTAGACTCTTTCAGTTGGAACCCGATCGAACAGGATGTTGTGGTGAAGTACAAAGGCGAGGAAATTAGGGCAGAGGATAAAAGCAAGCGCATTATCGAAATGCCTAAAGAAAGGCCGAAATTCTTCTCCAACAATTTACTTGAAAAGGGGAACCACTCCTAAGGCTGCCCCAGGGGCGTATATAGTGAATGCAGTTGTTTTACAAGCCCAAAAGTAGCTCATATATATGTGTGCGTTGAAATGCTGCAAATAGTTAAGAAAAATAGCATGTTTTTAGCATGTTTAGACATTTTAGGGTGGTAGCTCTGTTACATCAATGATTGCAGACTATGATGTAAAAACTCTGATTGAATAAATTATCTCCTTTGATATAAGGATTGTTTACTACTGTACAAGTAAATCATTTCTCTCCTATCACTAATGAATCTTTGGAAAATTTTTAAAAATTACGTATTTTCAGTATGTGAATACTTTATGCATAGCAAAAAATCGTAATAATTTGAGCTCACTGCGAGAATCATCGTTTTATAATGCTTGCATGTAATCATCAATGCTGGATCTACACCAGCATCCATCACATAGTCCTCAAGTGTCCCTTAAAAAGATTTATGCTAGGATAGCCGAGGCGGAGCATACGCGCTACCTTCAATAGCAGAATTTTGCTGATCCTGAAACCATTCATCTACCCGGTGCCCGAGTCGTTCTTTTGCAACCGATAAACCGAATACTTTCAACGCTCAATATTGATTCGTTTAGTGATGTTGCATTTCTATAATATATCAATTGGTCGTAGACAACGAGGTTGAGTTGAACAAACTGAAATTCGAACGTTACGTAGGTCTAAAGACGCCATTTCTGTTAACAGCACTTCTTATACACGGATAGCGCCGGTTTCAGGATGACTGATCTCAATGAGCTTGGTGAAGCATTGTACACTAGCTTATTGAACATTGTTAAAGACTGCAACGGAAGACACGTTGATTTTAAGGAGATGTCGAGAGTCTTAACTGAATTAATGGCGAAGCACCATCCCAAATGGAACTGGACTGTTTTATGCGGCGATCAATATGACGTCAGCACTGACGGTCGAAAAATGCGGGACATTATGCTGTGTAAGACAATTGAAGGGGTGAAGGTAATGGTGCTTCGAGGTTCGCCATTGGAGAGGTACATAGGAGGGCCAGCGAATATTTGCGTGGTACGAAATAAGCTGGGCAAAAGCGATACCGACGCGATTAAAGCCGCCGTCGAGTATTCAGCTGGGGATTGTGGTCGAATGACGGAACTTATAAGAAAACATCTCAAGGCAGCTTATCCGTGTGAGAATTGGATCGTTATTGCTGGCGATGACTTTGCGCTCAGTCAAGACTATGAACAGATGCCCTGTCTTGCATTCTGTGCAACCGTTGGGCATATAAGCATCATTGTTGTAAAGGCTCAAAATTTCAATTTTTAGTATACCATTATTAAGGTGAACTAAATCTATGAATTCGTATAAGTGAAGACAAATGTATGGAGCGCAGTTTGAAAGAATAGTCAATATTAAGGACAACTAAATTCTTGAATTGAGTTCGCTTTTTATGAGTTGTTACCTTCTATGTGTTCAAAGTCAAAACGCTTTCCGGCATGGAAAGATTACCAATTTTAATCTCTTGAACCGTAGATTCCTCGTAAACAAAAATCTCAAGTTATTTTAAGGTCTCTTCGTATTGAAATGAGTACTCTTCCAAAATAGTTCAAAAAAGTTCATATTTATTGTAATCAGTCCATATTTGTTGTGATTTAAAAAATTAAATGCCAAATAGAAAGCGTCTATAAAATATTTACTCACGTTGAAATCAACGTTAATTTTACAATATTATTTCTAATGCTCGTTTAAACAAAAACTGAAGACTTCGTTTAAGGATGTTTAAATACTGTTTTTGCTGAACGTACGATTTGTACTTGTTGAAACAGACAAGGAAATCAATCCTTTTTTTCTCATTATAGGGGTGACGATTCATAGTACGGTTGTTGTTTATAAGACTCCAATAACAGTTCTCCGGTATTAGCATAGAGCTATCTTTCAAATATCTTCCGAATAGCAGCAACTAGTTATGTCAGCTAGTAAATTCAAGATCAAATGAATGTTTTTGCCTAATTACAACTTCGTATAAGTTGAATGTAATTGCAAAATTATGGCTAGCATAGTTTCAGTTCTGTCCGGTTCACATATTCAAAACTTAAACTACACAGATTCTTGCAGGGCTTTAACTTACAATAAAGCGGATTTTGCATAGTCCTTCTGCTATAATTCTGGACGAAACGGCGTTTCATCTGTGATCGATTACTGAGGTTTATTTGCCAGTTAATACAATCTCTCTAAGACAATGGTAATCGTTAAGCACGACAAACAATGTAAAAACTGAGATGAATATGCGAAGCCATTACGAGAAGTGAACTAGCAGTGGGGCAGCAGATTTGCTGCATTTGGTGTCTCCTATTATGTCAATGATTTGAGTAGCTAAGTGCCTGGCAGAGAACTTGATGCGATTTGGGTACAGCGTACTGACGTATGGCATCGATTTGCCATCCACAACGCTTCTAGGCAGTGTTTTTCACTACCATTCAGCTAGAATCTGCTGGAAAGTGCTGGATCTATTTCGTTTATTTTTTCGTTCTGTGTCCAATAAACTAAATCGTGCTGTCAGTTCTGAAATTAGTAACGGCGCTTCGTACAGCTAGTAAACAGATCTGTTTCTCAACGACACAGGTAGACATTACGTAGCCAAGATTAAGAGGCTTCATCGTTAAGTGCTTGCGAATTAATGACATTTCTACGTAGTCACAATGGATCCGGTGAAGGTAGTGATACTTGATAACGGAACCTCATTGCGTTAGCCTTTTGAGGTTCATCTAAGGACTTTCAGTCTAGAAATGAAGGCGCTAAAGACAGTTTTCGACTATTACTAAGCGTTATTTGCTGTCTGCTTAGTGCCTAGCGGCAGCACTGGATCTAAAACTCAAATCATTTATTTTAATACTAAACGTACTCAACGCTACTGTACCATGCGTCTTCACATGTAGAAGAATACTCCAGTGGCGCTCCTTTTGAGCCTGAAGAGCACAGTTGACCACAAAGCCATGTGCTTATCTACGTCATCGCCGCCAATAGCCTTCTGATTTCTGAGTTAAGGTTATGTCTCATGCGATTTGAAGATCATTCAAATAGTAAGCGATAACGAGACGAACAACTATACGTGTGACAAATTGGCAGTAAGTTGCTAAGTCGTACCGCACGACTGTGTTAGAAGCACCTTTAGATTAGCCAAGACCTTGCCTTTATCTCTTTTCAGTTTTCTATCCAAAAGTTTTGGCATCATGGAGGAAATCAACAATCTAGGCTTTGTTTCGGAATACGTGGAACGCATCATTATGGATAACATGGGCAAAAATATGTCAATGCAAGAGATGGCCAAGCAGATCACCCAAGTAGTTTCACACAATTATTCAAAGTGGAATTGGACCGTTCTGTGCGGTGACAAATACGAGGTTAGTACGGAAGGTCGAAAAAATCGAGACGTGATGTACCACAGAAAGTTGCACGATAACCTGAAAGTGCTTATTCTTCGTGGCTCGCCGCTGGACAAATACACTGGGGGACCAGCGATCCTTTCCATTGTGCGAAACAAGCTACAAAGTCCTCAGAATGATTCAGACCACATTCGGATGTGCATTGAGCATGCTTGCGGCGACAGCGGTCGAATGGTTGAGCATATCAGGAAGTACCTTAAAGACCAGTACCCCCGTGAAAATTGGATCGTAATAGCTGGTGATGACTTTGCTCTTAGCCAAGACTACGAGCAGATGCCAAGCCTAGCGTTTTGTGCTACCGTTGGCCATATCAGTGTCATTGTGGTCAAAGCGCAAGCTATCAACATGTAACTGAACATAGCTAACAGTGTAGTTAGCAGAATAGTATTTTAATTTCGCAGAAAATATAAATTGGTCTTTGGATATGATTAATTTAAGCCGCAACAGGTGCGCGATTGACTGCACCGGACAGAGTAAATTTATAACTTACTATAGGAAATACTGCTTTTTTTTGCTTAACCAATATATAGACCTATAAATGGATACATCTATAGTCGTTTTCTTGCAAAGCATTTAAGTAATTTAGGCTACTTCTACTACTTCAGCTACTGGTACAAAAAAACTATTCATATTCATTCCTGATGTAACCGGCGATGAAAATAATTCTCAATAAACTTAGAAACTCTTGTGTATCACCTTTCTGTTAGTTTTATTCTACATATTTCTTTTTTGGACAGCTTTCACTAAACATGACTAATGGTAGGTAAAACTAAATGGCAAGATAATTGATGCCCGGTTAACGAATTCGATATTTGTTGCTTTTGTGGTATATTGATGAGATTTCTCTCTAAAAATATCTAGCTGTAATAAAAATAGCATTCTTTATAATGAAGTGGTGCACGACCTTCAATATGAATACTTACCTGCACTAGTTGTCTTCGCCAAGATAATAAGGCACCGTATGACTCAAAATCTTTGATACAACGTTAACTATGCATACGCAAAGCGCCATCACTGCATACCAATTGTCTCACGGGAAGTGAGTTTCTAAAACATACTGTATTTTTTTGTATTTTCTTCTTCATCAGTATGTTCTCTGAATGATATTGAAGTTTGTGATAAGCATATAATGCTATTTCTATTAGTTTTCGAAAAGAGTAACGGAGATATATACAACAATGTGGTCAACTAAAAATCATATTCGCGATCACAGTTCTTGCTATCGGTCGTTTACTTGACGAACCCTACCACTAAACCAAATTACTGTCCTTGAGATTTGGACGTGCACTACTCTGTACAAGAGTATAATTATATCCATACGTAAATATCGCACCAACGTATCCTCCGACGTGGTTCACGAGATCAACTCTGTCGTAAGCTCCTATGTTAGCTTTCATTTCAGTCGGTGGCAACATAGTTGGGATGGACCGCTATGACGGGCTGCTCAAGCGTCTCTTCGCCGTCACCCCTCAATCCGACCTTTCCAATCTTTAGCAGAATGCCGTCGGCAATTAGCCGATCGATGACTTTATCGCACAGCTCCTTTTTAGCCATTAGCTGGTCAACGTCGTCGATTTCTTTTTCCATTTGTTCGAGATACCAGTTTAGAAGCTCTTCCTTATTCATTGTACCTTCCTCCTCTTCGGTATCCTTTTGCCGAATAGCAAATACGAGAAGGTTAGCAATTGCGCGATATTCTTCGAAATGAATAGAGAGATGGCGTTTTGGTTTTGCTTGGCTACCAGCCTGGGCATCCATCGATTGGTTCTCCTTGTCTTCCATGTCGACGTCCATTTGAGGTTCATCCTCTTCTTCTTCGATAAGGTGGATATCAGGCTGTTCTACTCGGATAATCGACTTGTTAAGAAGGCGAAATGCCTCTTTGACGTGTTTCTCTTTGACTTCGTCCAGGCAGTGCATGCGCGCAATTCCTTCGGCAAGACGAATCATTGACTCGAGCTGACGTACGGTGATTCGCCACGCTGACTTGGACACACCTCCACAGTCTCTCTGTCGAAGATGGCGGTACTGTTCAACCAGATAATCCTTAGCTGCCTCAGTCATTTTTGGCTTAAACATACGAGCAAATTGAATATAACGCTGGATCTCTTCGCGAGTGTAAACCTTGCTTTTCTCCATTGCTTCCATGCCAGTCTGATGCAAATTAACGATAGTTCGTGCAATGGCGTAGTCAGTGATATCGTTGCAATCGTCGATCAAAACGAAGAACAGATCAAACCGTGACATGATAGGCGGGGACAGAGTAATGTTCTGCTGCAGGGACTTCGTCCGGTCATAACGCCCATTAATGGGATTGGCAGCAGCAAGAATCGAGGCACGCGCATTCAGCGTCGCCTTGACACCGGCTTTTGTGATCGAGATCGTTTGCTGCTCCATAGCCTCGTGAATCGCAACCTGATCCTTTGGGTCCATCTTGTCAAACTCGTCAATACAACACACGCCGTTATCAGCAAGCATTAGGGCACCAGCTTCGATAACGAATTCGTGGCTTTCGTCGTCCCGAACAACCGCAGCTGTGAGGCCGGATGCCGTCGAGGCTTTACCTGATGTGTAGATGGCACGTGGCGTAAAGTCGGCAACTTGTTTGAGAAACTGGGACTTGGCAGTTGAAGGATCGCCAACAATACAAATGTTAATATCGCCACGAAGCGTTGTGCCTTCGGCGGTCTTTTTGGGCACGCCACCAAATTGCATAATGAGGATGCCACGTTTTATTTCGTCGTTGCCATGAATTGAAGGAAACAAGGAGTCGCAAAGGTTCTTGTATAGCTCGCGATCTTGCGACATCTCGTAGATTTTGTCCCAGTGCTGAGGCTGGAGATTTTTTCGAACTTCGTTCGGTGTCAATTCAGTACCATCGTCGTGGCGGTTTGCCATACTTGTATTACAAGGCTCGACTGTACACGCCAAGAACGCCGTACGATAGCCCATTTCTCGAACGCCAAGATTGCGAAGACCGGAGATTCCCTCATTCTCAAAACCCTGTTGCTGCTTGCTACTAGCGCGCTCTGCCTTCAGACCAGGTGTGCTCAGTTTGCTTACATCAGGTACAACAATGAGAGTGCCTGAAACATTCGGTGGGCATGCAATTGTTACATGGTAAATTTCGTAAACATATCTAACCTCTTATTATTTACACGGTTAAATAGTTTAGTATTCACGATGTCAAACGTTGGATTGGGCTAAGCACCACTAAAGATGGGAAAGGGTTTTTAGCACTATTATGTGAGCGAGGTTTTAATAGGTAAATTTAACAGCATTTCAGTTAATAAACACATTATTCATACCGATGAATTCACACTTGTCTCCGGCCTGTGCCGTTTCGACGGCCTCGGCACGAACCACAACCTCAACACTGCGGGGTATATTTCCTCGGGGCAGCTCTCCTTGTGTTTCCTGGATACGAACCTTCTGAAAATCCACAAACTTCGATTTGGACGTGTCTAACAAAAACCTGCGAAATTACAAACAAGGAAAACAACCTTCGAGTCACTTAAAGATAATTTGGAAACCATTGGTTATATGACTAATGTGGAGAATATATCTGGTAAGTTGGATGCCATCGCGGAAAGCCGACGACAAAATGGATTTTTTAACGTTACTAGCTTTGGCTACCTTCAACTTCCGTCATTGCTATAAGTCTCTAAATTTACACTATAAATAATTGTTACAGATCTGGGATAGTTACATAATAATAAAGCCACTCCAACTATCCTATGTCAGTAATGCGTATTTTAATCGCACCTTGAACGATTATTGCAGACCGGGTTGGGGCAAATAGAGGGCTCGGTGTATTTGAACTGTTGCTCCACTCCAGGAATCCATGTTTGGCAGTCAAGGCACTGGAAAGTACCAGAGACAAGCTCCGGATGTACGGGGTGTGTACGGACGACTTGGCCGGTAATCTTGATCAACGAACCCAATCGCAGCATGGTCATCTCACGTACCTTGTGTGCTGTACTTACTTCGGTGAAGGCAACATAAAAGTCCTTATCGACTGGGCTGTCACTTCGATCGCGAACAAGATTCTTCACAGCATGACAAAGGTACGGATACACCTAAATATACAGTAATATTGAATCTTTACTGTTTGTTTTCATATAGATTTCACATAAAATCTCGCGAGGGAATAAGTATACCATATAAATATCACCGAGTGCTTTGAGTACCGTGTGCATATTTGGAATTGCACATCAGGTTGATGCAAACGATATAACAAGAAGTCCTATTTCGTCTGCGTGACATGCTAGGACGTAAGCTTGGACCAAATAGAGTTAAAAAAAAACTGTATACTTACTCGATAATACTCTTCAATAATGACGTTGGAAAGGTTCTGGGAAAAACGTTCCACATCGGCCATACTGACAGTTAGTGTATCTCTTTCAGGTTTGAGAAGTAGAAACGCTTCTTCCGTGTACTTCTTTGCATTTTTTTCATCCACCCATTCTTCAAGAAATTCCTGAAACATTTTCTGACACTGTTCGCCCATCGCGTCCTTGACGTGCGACGGGCCCGCACGAAGATCGGAAACGTCCATCCTGTAGACTGGTAAAGAGCCGCGACAATACAATGAGGCAATTGCTCTGAATTTTACCTCGGATATTTAACCCGTTAGGCATTGCTTCTGATGGTTGGCCGCTTCCAGCTCAGAACAAACGTGTATACGCCCGGATTCGAATATAGACCTCCTTGCGTATCGCGCGTTTACTAGACAACCGCTTTACGAGCGCGCTATCGCGCGAATAGCAATTAGTTACCAGGGCACTACTGTGATATGAAATAGTGGTTGGTTAGCTGTGCACCTCTTCGACACAGGCAGCGTAAACGAACCGTGGCTGATATATTAAATTAAATGGAAATTAGTTGTAAAAGCCATTGTGCAAAAACTACCATACTGAGGTGATAAGATTCACTTCTCCGTTAATATCTTAAATCACCTTTTAAGATGTATATTTTTCACCATATTTACACTTATCTAGCTAGAGATCATATTTATACTTATCTGGCTCATCCATTGGTCTAGATATTCTTGTACCAGCTGTAATCTGTTCCTGGGAGGGCTTAACTGTCACTCCTTCGGATTTCTTAACAGTGAAGCTATTAAACTATCAAGCAGTTCGCTAGTATACGCATTACGAATGCAATAGACAGCTTCTGTTTTGGGACAAACAACATCTTGCTTTGAAATCTAATGCGACTATTGAAATTGCTTTATTCGGGGCATCTATACTGATTTATGCCGAATTAGCCAACTTGTCTTCCTTTCACAGCATATAAATACCTACGTGGAACACCTTTACTTAGTTTACTAGTACATTAAAATATTTGACAATGATGCTCGTTTCCACTACGAATTTAATATCTTGTGCTATTGAAAATAGTTACAGATATTTAAAGGACTGTTTAAAGGGGCGTACCTCCCTTACCTGGAAGTAGTCTGCAATGAACCATATCTCCCCACTCGAATCGTATCATCTAGCTTACATTTATACATTAAAAATTGCTATGTCATATTTAAAAATTATCGTAAAATTACCTTTTTCTTAGTGCTTGACTCTCGTTCGACAGTTGCCACCGATTGCCAGGTATACGGCGCGCGGGTTTTGGCGCCAATATGAGAAGTTCCGGCGAAATTGCGAAACTGTGTATCCTTATTGAATTCTTCAGAATTGCAGAATATAGTGATTTCGTTTCATTCGGTATTTTAGCCGCTTGATTTCTTTGATGCTCTACAAAAATAAGGAATAATGTAATTAATTAGTGAACGAGAAAGAGCTATTTTTTAATATTTCGAAGCACCGCCTATTCAATGAGTACCGTAAACGTAACGCATATATTACCCGCCATCTAAATCGGGGCGCGTAAACAGGTCAGATCTTCTTTGTTGATCAATAGCTACAGTCGGCTATGCAGTAGGCCTGAGCAGACGAAATTAAACAACCGTACGCCTTTTTCTTTTAATATATCTCTTCACTGATATCTGGTTGTGTTGTTGATATGTATAAACGTAAACAGCGCATGAATAATCGACCGAATTCATTTATTGTTGCCTTTATTTTTTTTCTTTTCGTTTGATGGGGGTGAAATAGAATTCAAGTAAGCAAGATATTAGTGAGGTTGTTAGTTTCTGCTGTGATATATCTCGAAGTAAGCTTCGACTTCAAAAGAGATAGCGGTGGCGAAGATGAGTGTGCAGGTGTCAATCAGCGGGCCCGTGTTTGCTCAATTATTGCGTCAACATGCGGTCAGCCCAAACAATCAGGTATTTCCTTTTTTTTACGTGAATACCTCTTATATTTCAAACATTTGGCAATTGCTCTCTATTGGTAATCATTTAATCACTGGCTGGTCTTAAGTTCGTCAGCATCATCTCACACAGCTAGTTGGGCTTATATTTTTTCCCATATTTGAAAGAACAGATTGAAAAATATGTTGTAGTTTTATCATATGCTTTTACGTAATTTTAATGATAGGTAGCTCTTTTAGGCAAAAGGTCTGCTAAGAACGTATTGCTGTGTTGTAATTATTCTACGAAGTAAATTCCTAGGAATATAATATTGTACAGAAGATCATAAAAACTTAGCTACTTCCTGCAATAGATATTTGCGATTGCGACGTACATGTGTGTAAAATCCTAAAAGTCCATTCTGTAAGCAACACGTCGTGGATACGCGTAGTTCACAACAGTTGTGAACCGTACTTGTCACTTTAAATAAATTCTATTATCTTTGTATATTTATATATACCTTTTTCCTACCTAAATATTTAGAAGTTATGCACAATTTAGGTAAAATAAACAATGTTTTTCGTCTTAAATACCTAAGACAAGAAATGTGCTTTATCTATCTTTTTATACTTATGCCTGCTTATGCATCTCGATTAGATTGTAGTAGAATAATTTATGAAAAATACCGTCTGTAGACTAAGACAAAGGGTTTAAGACGTTTACAAATTTGTTTTGATAGACATACTTATTTTCAACCCTGTCAACATTATGGGGCACCAACTGAACAGAGCGTTCTTATGGATACCTGACATTTTAACCTGACAGAAAAAATTAAAAAGGTAAACAGAAGGTAGAATTTTTGTATCTTGATTACGAATTCCTCACCTGTCTGATTTAATCATATAGTCCCAGAGAGACCTGTTGATCTAAAGCTGAAATGGAATCCATGCATGACGTTAATTAAGAGCGTGTAAAAAATAGATAAATAGTATGCACCAACTGACACACGTGATAAGACCATTTGCTACAATACAGACATACGTATTATAGTGTTTGATATATAATTGGGAGAGCATAAGCTAACTGCTGCTTTTTTTTAATCATTCATTGACCGTTTCGCATTACAGGAGGGCCTCTTGTTTGGCGAAATTAGTGAACGACGCGTCAATCAGATCAATGATCAGGCTGCCGTTAATGAACATAATGAAGTCACCCTCAGTATGTAAACGCTCAGTTTTTTGTATAATAAAAGAAAATTCTTTTTGAATACATCTTATGTTGCAGAAATGCCCAAATACATTGCTGCATATATTCACTTCGAAATGGAAAAAAGGTTCGACAACGCGCCATAAATTCAGCTTATTTTTAGAAATTGTGGAAGCAAGTTTAACTCAGCTGAATCGGCAGGTTAAGTAAATCCTGAAAAAGATAAAAGTTAAATGGCATCTCTGTTTCTCATGTAGTTTCTTTCCATCCTAATTTTCGATCCATAATAAATTCTACGTAAAGCATTTAGGACTTTATGGACTGTAGAACATGTTAGGCACCGAAAACAAAAAAAAAGAGTTTTATTGCCTTTTCTGTTTTTATATTATGTATATTTTTCTTTTATTTTATTGTATTATATATATTATTATATTATGTATAATAGAGAATCGAACTTTTTTGCCGTGATGTAGTTGACAGCTGACACTCCCTAGTGTTAGATTTTAAGCCTTTCGCATGTATTATCTAAGTTCTCGGCACCAGACCAATACTGTTCATACTGTAAGCGTTTCCAATACGGATTTCTACGTAAAGCGTCACTTTTGTAGAAATTTGTTAAAGATTCCTGAATTATCATTTCTTGGAAGTTTATTAATTTTCTTAAGGAAAATGAGCGTGGCAAACATTTCTCCAAGAAAAAGAATTTTGTAATAATGTGATAACAACGGTTTCTAGAAAATTTTTTCGAAAATCTAAATTCGAAAGTTCTATTTATTCATCATAGTTGAATGTTCTTGCACATTATTGTCAGTGCTGTACAACTGTGGGTTGTGAAATTTTCACACGTACGTTTTTGCAATCGGTCTTAACCATCGGAAAATAAGATAGGAAGAGGCATGACACCTTGTTATCGATTTTCATCTTTCTTATTATCAACAGCTAAAGTTTTTTATCGGGTTTTTTAGATGGCTGTGACTCATTTGAAGGATGTGGACGATAATTAAATTATCGGATTCTTCTAATTGTTCAATTTTTGTCTCATTTTTTGCGTTCCTAGAGGTCTGCTCTTTTATTAAATTCGAGCCGTTCGAGATCTATGATCAGAACCTTAAGCTTTTACCCGATCCTCTAAGAGAAATGGAAGCTGGCTTAAATGGAGCCAAGGTAATCGGCTATTATTGTTTTCGAAGGAACCTGCCTCTCACGGTACGTCGATTTAGTCATTTTGAAAGTCACTGGTTGGTTGCAGGCATTCATAAAAACTTCCACGACTGCTTTTCTAGACGTGATCCTTTAGATAAAGCTGAATTCTCGTATATATACACTTCGTCGAATATCATAAATTATATGTGACATCAACCATAAACGTGAAGCGAAAATAAGAAAGCTATTATAAGCTGTCTTTTTATAGCGGTTATGGCTGTCGTTTTCCTCACTTCGGTTGTTGAACATCGTACTAATGATTGGATTCACTACCCCTAACTGTTCGTACTAATGATGGGTTATTTTCTGCTGTTGAATTAGGCTACTTACAGGGAGCACGTCATATCGAATGCCTTGGCTAAAGCCTCGTGCGGGCAGCCGTTTGTGCTCGGCCTATTTTCGACAACGTTTAATGACAACTATTCTATACATTCGATGGATCACTCGTTTCATATAGTTACACCTCAAAACGATGGCGGATCAAGACTTGGTGTAAGATTTGTACTCGTGTAAACTCTCGAGTCGCGAAAGCCTTCTACATATCGTTCTCTGTCAACCTAACCTATAAATAACATGGTTAAACTGTGGTTAAAGCTAGATCCTACTGACATGGCAAAAAAAATTTTCTGTAAATAAGTTGATTATTTTGCAGATTTGACAATCGAGGAATCATGCTTTTTGAATCATGCGAGGAAAAGTAGTACCGACGTTTTTTGTGTGTAAAGAAGAGCCTGCCTTTGTAGAAAAAGCCGTTTATCATATTTTCAGTACAAGGACATCTGTATGCTTATATTTGTGTGTTTTGATTTTAAATTACAAGGCGGCAAGTCTGCGAGTAGTAAACCTGGGCGAAGATGCGCGTCAGGAGTATAGAACCCAACCAGGATCTGCTGCGTCGCTCGAGCGCGGTTTTTTCAGCGACCTTGCCAAAAGCATTCCGTACAATGGGTCAGTGCAGTTACGTTTTTGCCGACTATCGATAGACCTTCCAATTGAAATATATATCCTTCCGGGGTGCTGGAGTGGTGTCTAATGGAACACAAGAATAAAGTTACTTCTTCATGTAATCAATCTTATTTTGAACAATCATTGACGAACAACACATGTTCACAGTGATTTCTATAATAAGGTAGGTAATTTGTTAACCATCTTCATTTATAGGAGGGAAGATAGGAATGTTCAATTGCTAAACCAACTCCACAATAATCTTCAAAAGAAGCTTAACGCTCTGGCTAGAGAGATCACGGAAACACTTCAGGTACGTCCGCACCTTGCTCTAACGTTTTATTTCTGTGCGTGTAAGTTTTAACACGTAAATCGAGTGGCAGAAATGAAAAAAAAAAGTAACCCTGTATTGTTCAATGTATATGCAGCTTGTTTACTGCGATTGTTTGTATCATTGGTAAGCTATGTATATGTTGGTGCTTCTCAATTTTATGAAATTCAGTCAGTTCAGGTTGCTGGCTTTTACCTCTAAACTAGCTTAGTGGAAGCCAAGAAATCGAACTCAAGCGTCACCAGGTCACATTTTATTTTGGATAAAATACGATTTGGTGTGTTTCGTACCTATGAGTCAAAGCTGGCGGATGTAGATGTTGGTATTAATTTGTAAACCAGAAAATTCAAATGGGTTTAGCAGAAAGCAGTTTTTGCCAGGACTTGTCTTTCAATAGGCTTCTATTCATTTTTCTTTGTCAATTTACTGGAAATTAAATATTTATCATTTGTAGATTGAAAATCTCTGAAATAACGGCCAAGTAATTTTTTTATCGTATCCGGCAAATTTTCGGTTAACCGCGTAGAGATCTTTATGTATTAAAAGCTTATATTCTTAGTTCTATCTGGATAGAAAATAGATCGCAAATAGTTGTACCCTAAGCATTTATCAGCTTTTCGCACCAAACAGACATTTGTGCAAACAATTTGTGCCATAGTCTTTACTATTACTCGATGAGTCCGAATATCTAAGCTAACAGACCCATTTGCACTGAAAAGCAGAAGTGAATGATGAACGTTTTTCTCACAGCGTGACAGTCTGTAGTATTTATGCAATCGAAGCGCGATATTTCTTTTAAAATGCATTTCAAGTAAACATGACGTTCAACATAGCTTCCGACATTTCATTTTAGTGCTGGATTCTGCGAATCCAAGTGAACAACAACTATGGTCATTTTTGTAGTATAAAGGTAGTATAATTGGTGTATGCTAACATTGGCGATCGAATCGGTAATTACCGAAGTGGCCAAAAAGGAAATGTGAATTAACTTAATCTAACTAACATTAACATGATTTGAATGCGTCGATTTTTTAACGTACTTTCAGCTTCATGAAGAGACAACCCAGTCATATGAACAACGTCACCAATAGGCTGGTTCCAAATTATAAGTGGATCTTGTGATTTTATCGCAAATATCAGAAAATGTTTCTGCGCCAGTTGATGCAGAACAGTGAATATCGCAACTGTTATATTATTTTCCTATTAATGGTAAGAAAAATAGCGGTGATACACAAAAAGCAATGCGTGCTATGAATGTATTTGCGGGCTTCAACTGCAAGCGGTAGAAGCAAACTAAATTTTTTTAATTTTGAAAGCGTTTGTAACAGCCCTTACAAACGAACACAAAACGAAGCAAAGAAAAACGACTGCTTATGCGTGATATAATAAAAATGTACGCGTAGTATATTCGACTAGCGGGCAAATTTTTGCATGTCACACTAAATCTGCAACAAATATCATACAAGCAAATTTAAAATTATTTTCTACGTCGACAACGACAACAACCATTGGCTGACTACGGCTACGTAATAAATATATGTAAGCGTTGCTACTAAAAAAAGTGATCAAATGGTTGAATAAAAATAATTTTTATTTGCAAAAATAAATAGTCATAGTTTTATTAAATCATCGTATACGATTTTCATTCAATAAATTTAGCTTGCAATACCTTAGTAATGGAGGTATATATATATATATATATATAATTTATTAACTTAAGTGCGTGATATACATAAATACATGCCTTTATATATAGGGTCTGCTTTAAAGAGGATACATCCTTTATTTTTTCGCGTATGTGTGACCGTCCAAATAGTGCAAGTCGCGTTCGGTCTTTTTATCACTATCCACAAGCCGCGTCTAAAATACGTGTAAAAAGTATATAGAGATAATAGCTTTAACATCAGAAGAGAATTTCTCGCACGCCAACGAATCAATCAAGGATTTTCTTTAAAACACGGTTAAATAGTAAACAAATAAGTAATTTATTGTTGGGAAAATGGCTATGATTAGTTCAAAGTAACTTCCCTTGGTTTATAATAAATGTCGTACACGATATAACAAACAGACATTGAATACCAAATCAGCATATCTCTTTATCTTCTAATGTAAAGCAGATTATCGTTCTTCTTGCGCTACTTCAGCGGGCTGTTGCGCGAGTTCTATGTGCGTAACAAAACCGAAAAACATAAAAACATCATATGTTGATTTCGACGTTTTAATTTGGTCGATGTGGCGTTTTTTTTAAATATGGTTGTAGCCATGGTTTCAAGTAATGAATTACTTTTACTCTTGAAACGTATATATATATATATATTTATATATATAAACTTAAGGTTCTATATATAGCATCTACCAGCATTCTATTCATGACGCACGTATGCTTCGAACAATTTAGAAGTATTGCCTCTACATTACCAAAGTGTATTGTGTGTTTACGTTCATTTATGTATACAAAAACTGTATTTATGTACACAAAAAATTCACCAGTGCTTTAAGCGACAGGAGTAGCTGGCAGGTTAAGTGAAACGTGTAACCTTAAAATGTATTTATTGAGACTCAAGATGATTCGTAACTAATAATTGTGCGATGTTGTAGCAGGAGCACAATGACGTGCAATTTCGAACCGAATATTATCTATATCCTTTATATCTATAAAGAAATCTTCAAAATCATCTTCAGGTATTGCTTCAGAGATTACCAGGGGAAATGTTGCAGAATCTATTTTGGGTTTTCCCAACAGGCGTGCGAGGCTACGAAGTAATCACATCGAAAACTGTCGCAGTTTCGTTCACTTCTTATAAGTTACTTCTTTCATCATCCTTTGCCAACGTTGAGACAAAAAATGTTATTACTAATAGTGATAAAACAGGACGATGACTAATGTTCTATTCAGGGCGCTATGTTGAAAAGAAGTATGAATTCTTGGTCATTTTGCGACAATATTATCTCGTTATCGGTATTGACTGTGTGCTAATAGATAGCGATCCTGATCCTCGTTTCTGGTTTGTGTGTTTCACTATTGGAAAAATGATTAACTTCGTATGATAACACTTCCTATTGTTAGTGTTAGATGATATAGTAATGAAAATGGAGTTCAAATTATTGTGCAGTCTGTATTCGATACTTATATGGAAGGACACGTGGCAACGGAACTCAACGGCTATAAAAGCTGATAAGCGTCAATATTCATTTTAAGTATCGTAGTAAGAACAGTTTCGAAGACTGCTTTCACATTAGCTGTGTCAACGGCTGTAGTGAAATGCGGAAAAACGGGACGCTGCGTAGCCGTCAAAAGTTTACTTTGCACAAATAAAGCCGCGGAGTCAACATTCTCATCAGGTCCTCGGAACTCGGAGAAGTAATACCTATAAAGAAATAATTCAACGAGAATATGAAAATCATTTAATATTGATAAGTTGAGGTTGGGAAAGTAAAAAGATAGGTTGTATAGGTTTGTATGTAATGCATACTATTGTTTGCAGTACTGTTGATAGTTGGCAGACTTTTGAAGCTAGATTTTTTTTTAGGTATATTCATAAATCATTAGTACTCCAGAAGATTGTCGCAATGACATTATGATCTTACCTAAGATGACGTTTCGAATAGAGTATTTTTTGCCGGAAGAGATCCATTTTATTCAAAAACAAAATCATCAAACAGCTTTGGAAATAACGATTTGTACCAATTTTTCGAAATAACTCAATGCTATCCTGCAGTCGATTCTGAAAAGTACAAGGAAGCAGTGAAAAGAAAAGGTTAACATTACAGATTAGACGAGTTATCTAATACCATACAGGCTCGTTAATATTATCCACAAGTTGCACATCTTTTACTTAAAAGTAAGAAATCTTTTATATA